TGTTGACCTACATATAAATGTACTCTTACCGCATGAGAGCATTATGTTCTTCCAGTAACTCCCTGAGCTCACGTCTCTTTGCAGAAGCAGCTTCTCTCTTCTCCTCCTCAGCCCTGCAGAGATGGAGCGTTGACAGACAGGTGGAAGGTTCAGGAGCTTATTGACTATCGTATCTCCCTGTTCGTTCAACCGTTCCCACGTTCGCCACTCTATGGCCAAGTCACGCTCGGTCTCCAAACATTCACCGACTCCTCCTTACTAACCGTTTTACAAGACGCTGTTAGACATCTTTTTCGGATTCAGCTCAATTGCCTAAACAGGTCTCACGTGCTGCTACCGTCTTTAATCCGCCAGACTTAATAGTGTTTTGCGTACGGTATCGGTGTAGCTTCGTAGTTGTCCACACGTTGTCTACGCACCGGTTACCATCTTTGTGACACGCATCTTAGCGTCCAACGGTCAATTGCTCCGTATTTTTGTGTTAAACTACCTCCAACACAACGGTAATACCGGATTTGTTGTCTTGTCGGGTCTCGGTGGATATAGGGTCTCATTATGTCGATAATGTTAGACGACCTCCACAGGTCTTGGAGGTCTGTCACGCTTGTGCATGTCGAGTGGTACTCTGTCCAGCTTAGTCTACCTCCTCCGCTATCGTTACGTGTATTGGTCGTGATAGCTACTGGCGTAGCGGTTTGTCATTTATGCATGCCCAATTATCATCTACTCTACTGGATTATAAGTGCCAACTGTTTTACGACTAGTGGTAGTGGACCGTAAAAGTCGTATTTCCCCTCGGACTTTGGCGACAAATAACCGTTAATACATTATGGAGACCGTGCTTCTTACGTAGTGTTGTTTTTATTTTATACACGATAGCCCGGCACCGACATCGATACCGAGCCCTAGCAAGCCAGACCCTTCACTAACCTCCTTCACTACCACCCAGCTTTCAGCCTCAACGTGTTTCTTACCGACTTACCTGAAGGGGTGGAGCATTTGTCGAAGTGCACGCGTGTCTAACACGGTACCCCGACGCGCGCTACGAGGGTTCCGACACGCACTTATTGCACGTAATACAACTGCTGGGTTAATTATTGTATATGTGAAATGAGAACAAAAGGGGTAAGCCTTATGTGTGGCTGATTAATACTTGAGAGGTTTGCTTTACCTCTTGTACTGGACGACTCGGATTTGGTTTGGTAGTCGATGGTGCACGACGCAGCCTCTCCCGTCAATTCCCGTAATAAACCAACACAAACAACCACAACCTTAACGATCCTCTCTTCGACTATAACCAACAGGCCAGCGAATTCCCTAATCTTTCGCGAAATGTTTGGAGTAAACAAAGGGTCGGAACTGAGTGGACAACAAAAGACAAAAAACCGGGCACCACTTGGCGTACAGGAAAAGGTATCCCACACATATGAGGTAGTCGGCAACACCTTGTACTGGACGGTCACACACATAGAAACGTACTTGACCCAGTCGCACTCGCCTCCTGGTGTAATATATACTCCGAAATGTTCTGCTGTTCAAGACACGTAGTGCGAGCGTGGGTTCCGTCGCAGCTGGGCCACTGTGTCTATGTAAGCGCCTCCAAGATTTTAGGTAGTTTTTTATAATTTTATAATTTAGGGACGTCGGGTCCTCCTTTCCACGACTCCAAGTCCGATCCGATGTCGTCCAGTTAACCCAACAAGTACATTTTACAAAACAAGTTATAAAATTAACATTAACAGACAAAATTTGTTACCCGTAACAAGTATAAACGGCACAAATCCGTTGTTTACCAGCGACACAAAATCACCGGAGACGTGGGCAGACGACACGACAGTCACGTCCTTTTTTATTTTAGTAAGTATAGCACAACTTTACTTTCACTGGCGTGCGTAGGAAAAAATCTGTAGAAGAAAAGAAAATAATTTAAGGGCGTCGGATCTGTACAAAGTTGGTCAAACCCTAGTATGTTAGTCCTGTCGTCACAAGTGTGTCTAGATCTAATGTGAACACGCGCAATCTTTACCACCGATCGCGCACCCGGGGTAGATGGACACAGAAAGCTCTGTCGTATTTAAATGAATTTTATCGAAAAAAAAGAGTGGTTAATATGTGTGTGACACTATGGTAATTATATCGTGCACTATCAGTTCTGGGTTTGGACTTCACGCTATGAAAGACCCACCGTGTTAAACGTCCAATTATATAATTTACTTATTAATTTCTAATTTATTACGCCGCATATATGTTATAATACTGTCATACTTGACAAATGGGCTATTTTAGGCACAGGCGTTTTACCTGCATGTTGCTTTTCAGCTCGCGTTGGTGACCATGCTGTGTGGGGGTAAACTCTTTGTGATCACGGTCGACTGGAGGAAACAGTTTGTACAAAAAGATACCCTCCTGTAAACATTG